TTCTTTTTTGATTTGTGTTCCCAGTTTTGGAAGGTTCTTCCCCTTTTGTTATTTCTTTTTTTCTTCTTTTTTTTTCCTTCAATGGGCAGGCATATCTTTATGTTAGAAAGGTTGGAAGAAAAAAAACAAGAAAAAAAAAAAAAAAAAACAAGGAAAAAGGTTGGGAGGAGAAGGAGAGGAGAGAGGAGGAGGAGAGGATAAGGATTCTTTAAATGGAATAGAATCAATATCCTATTAAGTAGTATTAACATAAAATAAACTTTAACAAAGTTTAATGAACTGTTTTGTTAATAGGATATCGATTTCTTCTATCAATATCCTATCAACGAAATAGTTTATTCTATGTTAAACCACCAGTACTTGGGCACTGCGCGCTGCCGCACTGCGCGCCGGAGGTCGAAGCGACACGGGCTGTGGATTCGATTTATCCACGGCCCGCCGGCCGCGAAATTTTCGTACCGTTAACGCTAAGGCTGGCCCCAAGTACTGGTGGTTTAAACCACCACTACCTCCGAGCCTGTTTGTGCCGAGCGTGATTTTCACTGCGCACCAAGTTTTGCCGAGCTTGGGGTCCGTTTTGTTTCTTTTTTCTTTTTTCTTTTTTTTTCTTTTTTTTTCTTTTTTTTAATTCAAAGCCCAGGCTGTTGTAGAGGTGGGATACTAGACGGATGGCAGTCACCCACAGTACTCGGCCACTCGGTTGTCCAGCCCAATCCCTCTGAAGACCCCACCCACCCTTCCTCTTATCTTTTTGCCCTGGGGCACCCCCACCCCCCCTGTCCTACCCTAGTGTTAACCACCCAGGACCATCACCCATTGCCATCTTGGCGGGGTGACCTGACTAGACAGCGGTTGTGGTACTCTTCTGAAAAAAAAAAAGCTTGGCCAGAGTTCTAAAAAACGACGTGCTCACAACCACAAAAAAAAAATAAAAAAAAGAAAAAAAAAAAAGAAAAAGGGATAACTGCTCCTGGGTCACACTTCAAGTTCAAAACGGCAAAAAAAAACACTAAATGGTAACATCCCCGTCCTCCAAGTTCAAAACGGCAAAAAAAACACTTAATGGCAATATCCTCGTCGTCCAAGTTCAAATCGGCAAAAAAACCATCACTTTTTTTTTTTTTTTTTTTTTAAATCAAAAGGGAACGAAAAAAAAAAAAGGGTTTTGGGCCCCATGGTTGGGCCCCGGCCGAGATGTCTCGGCCACACCCCAGATTGGCCACGGCCGAGATGTCT